GAGGGAGGTGGGGGGTGGGTGGAATGTGGCCCTGATACCAAGAGCTCAAGTAGAAAGAAAATGTTTTGAAAATGATGATGGCAACAAATGTGTTTGACACAATGGTTATATGTATGGATTGTGATAAGAGCTGTATGAGCCCCCAATAAGATGACTTAAAAGGGGTGGGGAGGACTGGGATGCTGAGCTGTGGAGGGAACACAGACTCCCGGCCAGCGTGGGTCTGGCTGGCAGTGTAGGGAAGGTGCACCCCGAGCCCAGGACGAAACTCCCTTTCCGTGTGTGCCTCTGAAGCTCCTGTGTGAGGTGGGGCCATCTCAAACCCCAGCACCCCCTATGGCTCCCCAGCCGGTTACAGACCTGCACTTCAGGGTTGGGGGGGGGGGGGCACCCAGGCACCTGCCCTCACACAGATACAGCCTGACAAGCAGGGAGGGCACACCGTGCCTCTTCAGGGGTGTGCGTTGGGCCAGGCTCACTTAGCCCCTGTTTTCTTGCAGTTCTTCTGAGCAGGCCATTGCCAGGAAGATGCCCACAGGCCCAAAGCAGGTGAGAGGCTGCAGGAGCCGCTCGACAGCCACCGCCAGGCCTTCCCAGGACCACGTGTGCAGCCGGGCTTGTCAGAGCTGGCCTGCCCCCTTCAGAGTCACCCCTAGGGCCCTCCTGGCCAGCCATCAATGATCTTGCTCCCCACAAGGGCCCCCAATCAGCCCTTGATCTCCTTAGCTGACCCTGGCGTCCTCCCCTGCAGGATGGCCAGCTCTCGCTAGGCGGCCAGTGCTGTGCCAGAGAGCCAGATGAGGAACTGGTCGGTGCCTTCCCTGCCTTCATCCGGAATGCCATCACCTCGGGCCACAAACAGCCCAAGACGACCAGGACCCAGCCTTTCCACCGGACAGATGCAGTGAGTGTGACTGCCCTCTGGGTGGGGGCTGCACAGCCAGCCCCCTTGCCCATTCACCTCTCTCTTCTGCTTTAGGTAAGGACGGGTTTCGATGGACTTGGGGGCCGGACAAAGTTCATCCAACCTGTATCCTTGTTCTGTGGGGCTGGGCTGGGCTAAAGTGGTTGTAGAGTCTACCTCCTCCCTCATCGGTACCCTCAGGCGTACAGAGCCAGGCCCTGCTCACTAGAGCAGGGCTGCCCACCTCCCCAGGCTTCTTCCTTGACATCTTCTCCAGACTGACTCGTCTGTGATCCGTCCATTGCCTGTCAGAAAGCCTAAAAGCAAGACTAAGCCACGAACGGGCGTGAAACCAGTGCCCTCTCCCTCCCAGGCCAAGCTGGACACCTTCCTGAGGTAGCTCAGGGGCTCTGACCTTGGTCCCCTGGGCTTAGGGCAAGAACAGTAAGCCTGATTAGTGGTTGGCTATGTGACTCCAACTTGGAGGCCAGCAGCTGGCCAGAAGGTGCCCCTGAGGGTCTGGGGTGGGGTGGGGTGGGGGCAGCCTCTGTCCCAGGACCAGCCCTGATAACAGAGACTGACCAACAGGTGGAGATGAAAGTGAGGCCCGAGGCTGCTTCTTGCCTGCCCTCGCCCTGCCCCCGCCTCGACATACTGGGTCTCCCCATCAGGGCTTCCCATAGGAGCTGATTGGTGAGCTCATCACTCCAACCAGCAGGGGCTGCTCTGGTTCTAGGCTCCTGTTGGTAACGATGATACTGCAGGCTGCTGCCAGTCCTGAAGACAGTTCTCCTCAGTGTGTGGACAAATGTGCTTGAGACTTCTCAGGCTCCCCCTAGCTGTCTCCAGCTCTTGGCTGGGCCAGGCATGGTGGGAAGTAGCGATGGTGGTGGGGAAGAGATGGGGAAAGATTTCCGTGTAAAATAAAAAGAGCACCTATTCCTCCTGGCTCTGGAGTGTTGTTTGACCAACTTTTCAAAAGACTGTCTTCTGCGATGTTTTTTTTTTATTATTTATTTTATTGAGTTGGGTGAAGGTTTAGTGTTCCATTCACAATTCATATGTGTCGTGGACTGCACTCTGCACAATGTAACACTACTTACCCCATTGGCTCCTTGTTTGCCGTTTCTTTCCCTTCTTGCCTAACCCTCTGGACTTCAGCCTGCTGTAAACACTACCTCCTTGATCCCAGGTGGTTGATCAGTCCAAGGACTTTGTAGGCCTTTCTGTTGAACATTGAGCTACATGGTAAGCTCCGTTCCAGACTTGAAGGGTGATTAAGGGCGAGTTCCATGTTCTACCAGTCTCTGTCTGACTAGTAAGCCTGGTCGTTTTATGATTTTGAGTTTTGTACCACGTTTTTCTCCCTCTCCTAATGTGATCCTTTTCAGAGCAGTTGGCACCGGGTACCATCTGGGTCTCAGGGCCCTGGAAGCTGCTGTTTATATGGCCCCTTAGTCCTTTGGGCTCCTTGTGCCCAGGGGCCTCTTCTTTGCTCCAGACAGGGAGAGACCAGTCTTTGCCTTGGTAGAGCTTATGTTGAGAAATAAATCATCTATATTTCTGCTTTTATCTTTCAATTCCAAAGCCCCACAGACTCTTTGGAGGCCCTTCATAGCTGCCACAGCAGCTCCACCAGGTCTGTTTCTGTGTGTGGGCATCGTGATGCCACTGTTTAGCTCTGTCAAGCTGTGCCCACGTCACCCGCAGTCGGGGTTACATTTCCATCCCCCAGAACAATAACTGTTTGCTATCTAGAGAGTGGATTCGCCTGTCCTGCTTCATCTACCCCTAGTGAAACACTAATGGACATCGGTTCCTATATATTGACCTATGCGTGTCTTAAAGTGAGGGTATAACAATATTTGGTCTTTTGCAATGAACCTATTTTGCTCAGTCTATTGGAAGATTTAAAGGCACAAAATAAAAGAGACAGAATCTTGTAAACTGTTTTGTAAGATCCCACTTACAGGAAACATGTGGAGTCCGCCTAGAGACCAAAGTTGGTGATTCTGTTGACGGTGAACTTTGGAAATAAACATGGTGAATGTGACTTAAAGCCATGTTCACGGAACCGCACAGTGTACAGCACACAAAGTGTACACCAATGTAAGGAAATCATAGTTGAAAGGACTTGGTTTTTTTTACCCCCACAACAAAATAATTTGAAAAGTGTGGGGTGGGGGCAAAAGTTCTTTTAAGAAAGGAAGAAAGCTGATGGTGCCCGGCTATAAAAAAATATAGCGTCTGGGGTCTTAAAGGCTTGAAGGTAAATAAGCGGCCATCTATTTCAGAAGCAACAAAGCCCACATGGAAGAAGCACACCAGCCTATGCGATCACGAGGTGTCGAAGGGATCAGGTATAAGGCATCATCAGAACAAAAAATCTTACCATAGTGAATGAGGCGGGGAGTGCGGAGTAGAGACCCAAAGCCCATTAGTAGGTCACTGGAGATCCCCTTGCAGAGGGGTCTCGGGGAGGAGATGAGCCAGCCAGGGTGCGATGTAGCAACGATGAAAAATACAACTTTCCTCTAGTTCCTAAATGCTTCCTCCCCGCCCCCACTATCATGATAGGAATTCTACCTTGCAAGTCAGGCTAGACCAGAGGATGTACACTGGTACAGATAGGAACTGGAAATACAGGGAATCCAGGATGGATGAGCCCTATAGGACCAGTGGTGTGAGTGGTGATACTGGGAGGGTAGAGGGAGAGTGGGTTGGAAAGAGGGAACCAATTAAAAGGATCTACATGTGACCTCCCTGGGGGACAGACAACCGAAAAGTGGGTGAAGGGAGACGTCGGACAGGGCAAGATATGACAAAATAATAATTTATAAATTATCAAGGGCTCATGAGGGAGGGGGTAGCGGGGAGGAAGGGGGAAAATGAGGACCTAATGCCGGGGGCTTAAGTGGAGAGAAAATGTTTTGAGAATGATGAGGGCAATGAATGTACAAATGCGCTTTACACAATTGATGTATGTGTGGATTGTGATAAGAGTTGTATGAGCCCCTAATAAAATGATTATAAAAGAAAGAAATGTCTGGAGAATCAGCCTCACTGATGTAGGATATGCATGTGTCTTTTTTGTGAGTATATATGTATCTATATGCACGTGTACAAATACATATTTTAAATACATGAAATCAGTCAATGCGGTGGGCTGACACCGTGGCTGCCACAATAGGCCCAGATACAACAGAAATTATGAGGATGATACAGGAGCGATAAGAGTTTCTTTCTGTCCCGTCCCCCCCCCAGGCTCTCTAAGAGGGAGTGTTTCGACCAAGTGGGAAGACCACCCAAGGTGGGCAGGCCCCTCTCTCGTAGCGGTGACTCCTCCTGGGGCTGGATGCACACGTGCAGAAGAGTGAAGCTGGGCCTTACCTCGGGCCACACAGCATTTACTTCAGATAGAGCAAAGACCACGTGAGCTATGTGAAGAAAACAATCTTCATAACGTTGGTCTCTTAAATGACACAGAAGCACGGGCAACAAGATAAATTAGAAGTCTTTCAAATTAAAAACTTTTCTGCGCCAAAGGACACGCTGATACAGTGAAAAAGATAGCCTACAGAATGGCGGGGAAATACTTGCATCTCGTATGAATATCTAGTAAGCTGGCCCCCGAGGACTGTAATCCCAAAGGTCCAAATCCACCAGTCACACAACAAAAGAGGTAGCCTGTGAGAAACGAAGAAGGTGGATGCACATGGAAGCAGCGGAATTCTCTCCACTCAGAAGCCCAGGTTTGGAAGGCCCACTCTGGTGGGGGAAGGCTTCTCCAGTTAAGAGACAGAGAGGACTCCCAGTACACATGCTCCAGACGGATAATTGTCCCCACAATAGCCCCCCACAAAAGTGCTACTTTGTAGATGTTGCCTGCTCGCACCTGGCTGCTCTGCGCCCAGAGGCGATCTGTCTCAAAGATCAGATTCAATCGTCCTTCCCACCCAAAGTGCAAAAGTGCAGCCAACTTCCTTCTGAGAGGGATCACTGGTTGTGACCAAGCTCGGGGACATTCAGGGTTAAGCCACTGGCTCACGCTATTACCTGCCCACCATATTAAGTATGTGCCTGCTGGCCTTACGACTACATAAGCCCGTTGGAAAACACATTTGCTCTCTCTCTTGATCCTGACATTGGGAAAGGTGAGCCCCTGTGCCTTGCTGTTCTTATTTTCCACAAGTCCACGGTTGGGTTTGGGGGCTGGTTCCCACAGGAGCTGTCTGTCACCATAAAGATTACGGACAGTCTAGTCTGACCAATAGGGCGGAAATGAGTTGGAATTGACTGACTGACTGAATGGCAAGAGGTTCCTATCTGGAAGGGTTGAATATCCAGGCTGTCAAGAGAACTGCAACGCAACCAAAAAACAACCCTACTGAAAAGTCAGCAAACATTTGGGGGCTCAGAACCATGGTCTTGGGGGACATGCAGATTCGTCGGCTTAACATCCTCCAAAGCCAGTGTCCTGCATCCTATTTTGATGAGTAAGCAGCTGGGGTCCAAAGCTCGTGAATGACCAGCTAAGCTACGACGATTGGTCTCTCCCTATCTGAAGCAAACAGGATGAAGAAATACAAAGAGGCACGAAAACTGTTCTTCCGAAGGACTGACGGCCCTCACCACCCACAGCCTTAAAGCCAGGAGACCTAGACAGGGACCAGCTACTACTACAGCAGTTCTGAAGAGGATCAGATAGGAGGCTCCGGATACAGCGGGAGCACAAACAACGTCATGGAAAAGACCAAGCGCCCTGTCTGGTGCAGAGTAGTAGATAGAAACCCTAGGACTATGGCCCTTAGTCACTCCTAAGGCCTGGATTGAACGGAGACTCAACTTTAAATCAAACAAGAGGCTTCTACAATGAACAGTGACACCGGGGAGGTAGAAACTCCTTAGACCAACCAGCCATAGGACATCTCAAGGGCATCATTTCCCCAGGGATGACGCTCAGAAGTCAGGAAGGGGCAGTGAAGGAAAAGGAGATGGAAGCAGAGAAACGGAAGTAGCGGAAGCGGACTGTGCATGGTGGGGACTGCAGTCAGTGTTCGAGAACGAATGAGGTATGGGTTATCGGATGGAAAACGAATTTGCTCTGTAAACTTCCGCCTAAATCACGATGAGTTTTTAAAAAAATAAGAATGTCCTGGGATTGAAATAGATACTTCTCCATAAGAGATACACAAGACTATCCATAGAAGATGCTTAATATCTCAACATCATTAGTTATGAGAGAAAGCTAAACCCAGACTTTTTTAAAACAAGGTGGGGGGGCGGACACAGAAAAACAGCAAGGATTGGTGAGGAAGTATAGATACTGAAATTCTCATGTACTGCAGCTAGAAAAATAAAACAGTACAACCACTGGAGAGAAAAATTTAAACAGGTGTGTGTGTCAGTCTGGATAGATTAGAGAAACAAATCCAGGGAGGCTCATGTGCATAAGAAAGTTTTATATACAAGAGCAATTGAATATTGAGAAAACATTTCCATCCAGTCCA